AACCTAAGAGACCAATGGGACCAACACCAGAGTTTGCTAAAGACTTGAAAGTGGCGGATCTTCTGCTACCACAGTCAAGAGGATGGAATGAAGACTTGATTAACACTTTATTACCTTGTTACAAGGAAGAGATACTTTGCATCGTCCCTGGTTCTTTTGATACAGAAGATTGCCTAGCGTGGCTCCCACAGATGACGGGAGAATACTCGGTGAAAACGGGGTACTACGCAGCACGAGATCGAGCCCCATCAGACCTAATCGCTGCAGTCAACAACAACTTTAATTGGATTTCAGAGGTATGGGGAGGAAATTTTGCTCCAAAATTGAAAATATTCCTATGGAAAGTGGTTCAAGGAGCCTTACCAGTGGGAGAAAACTTAGCGATCCGAGCAATTGTACATCAAGCAACGTGTATCCACTGTGGAGAAGCTGAGACTACCCTCCATATATTCTTCCTCTGTGAATTTGCCCAGGAAGTGTGGCGTCTAGCTCCCTTCCGAAATCAATTTACCTCTGGAACTCTTACAAATATCAAAGCAGGAATCAAAATCCTCAATGTGGCGGTGAGCTTACCGCCGACAGGAATCGGCGCCGGCACGTTAGCACCATGGATCATGTGGAGCATATGGATGAGCCGGAACAACAAGATCTTCAATAATAGAAGGTTCAATGTGCAGGAAACCCTAAATCTCGCCTCAATCCGGGGCCACGGGAATGGCAAGAGGCTCAAGAGTAGACACCGATCCGCTCCGAAGCGAACAGAAATCACAATTAGGGTTTTACTTATAATCTTCATCTTTGCTTATACTTAATGCTTGTTGTTAATCTGGCCAATTAGCATATGATCTTAGGTTTATTTGAGCCTCGACAGTGCTGTATCATTCGCTTGAACTAGTATTTGGTAGGCAACCTCTTTTAGACTGCGAAAGTTGATTTATTTGTAGGTTGTGAACAATTGAACTTAATCGAACTAATGCTTGATTTAATCACCTTGGGACACACCAAAAGTTTAGCGACTAGGTAGATTAACAAAGGGGTCGGAGCCTCGACAGTGGAATGATCATACCATAGTGTTTCAAGTTCTAGATTGGCACCTAATTGCAGTAACCCTAATTAATTGATTTCTTGCTTCATGAATTGCTTATCTCAAGACTATCCTATTACTTAGCTCTTTCCTCCTATTGATTTCATTCTCTGATACTTGCATGCCTTTACTTTTATTGCACTCAACCAACTTAATACTATTTGCCCTAACTCAATCTCAATCTTATAGTTTGTAGTGTGCAATCTGGTCCTCGTGTTTGATACCCGTTTACTACTTCTGACCTGTGCACTTGCAGAATCAGGGATAGGAAAGGGAAAGACCTGATCCCGCGATCAAATAGGTCCAAATTTCGTATATCCGAAAAAATCAAACCCAAATCCGAACCGAACCAAGAACCGAGTGGGTACCCAAAATATCCAAAATATTAGTTATATATTCAAAATATTAGTTATATTTAGACTTAAAATAATCAAAAATATCTAAAATTACAATTATAAGTCTAAATAGTTATATTAAGGACGATATAACCAAAATATTCAAGAAATCCAAAAAGATTTAGTAGAAGATCAAAGGTGTGAATTAGGAAGGATAGGTCGCCTTACCACTCGGCCATGCCGCCAAAACGAGAGAAACTATGGAATAGAAACAAGTTTTTTTTAGTTATGATTGGGTATTCAGTTAAAAAAAAAACCTATTATTGGATAAAAAGAGACGAGATTGAATATGACGAGACGAAAAAAATAGAAACGGAGAAGAGAGGAATTTTGTTTACTTCTTATGATATTAAGTGACGAGACGAGATCTAAAGGAACGGAAAAGAACAGAATAGGAAAAGACGCAAATTTCGCCTACCTCAAATTATATTTATACGTGGAACGGGAAAAACAAAAAAAACATGATGAGAGAGGACAAAACAGAAATGTTGGACGGGACAAAATGAAAAGAAATGGAATGTGACGGGATTGGACCGGACTAGATGAAAAAGGACATAATGGGACGGGAATGTTGTCTACCCCTAATTATATTTAGAGACGAGACAGAGATAAGACAAAATGAAAATGAACATAATAAGATATGATGGGACTGGATGGGGCGGACAGAACGAACGGGATGAGAACGAACATGACAAGATGAAAAGGAAATGGAATGAGATAGAATCTACCCCTAATTATATTAAGGAACGAGACAATAATAAACAAAACGGAAATAATCATAATGGGATACGATAGGACTGAACGAGACGGGACATACATGACGAACGGGACGGGAAACAACGTACATGATGAAAATGAACGAAATGGGACGAGATGGAACAAGATGGTACCAAAAATTTGCCTAACTCTAATTATATTTAAGTAATATGTTTATTATATCTTTGAAACAATATTAAATTTGCGGAAAACAAATAAAACTAACACAACCTGCACGTAGCGCGGATCACCCCCTAGTACTATCATAAAACTTGACTTGTTGACCCCTAGACTTTTCTGACGAGAATACAAGCACATAAACTGAATACTTTTATTTGAAAATACAACTTTTATAAAATCTAAATTATGAAAAATAATCTTCAAATAAAGTGGGGGGGGGGGGGGGGGGGTGGGGGGGGGAGGGGAGGGGGCGGGGGGGGGGTTATGCCTAAAACCAATAAGATATTATTTCATAAATGGTAAAGCATAACTAGGCAAGAAAATCATTCGTTACCTATAATATAAGAATTGTTTTTCAAAAATTTGCTTCCTTTTCTAAAAACTTTTGACTAGAAAATATTTTCTACATATGCCGTGTTATTATATATATAACTATTCATCCAGCCAAAATGAAAATATCTAAAAATAATCTAAGAAAATAACACAGAAATGACTATCACAAAGAAAATGTTGATCGCACTTTTTCTGAGCTTTTTCTTGGATATATCTTATGTCAAATGCTCTGGTGAGAGTATTGGTACTAACCTATTATTATAATCTCTATTTTATTTTGTTATTTTGAACATAATTTGTTTTTTTCTTATGTGAATATGCATAATAGTTTATTAATTTTTGTGGAATAGGTTCTGGAAAATGGAATACTACAACAAAAATCAGTGGCAAGGGATGACTTGCAAGGCGTTCTGCCTGAAAACTTTAGAAGGATCGGTAACCGGTGAACTTGTTACGGAACACAGATGTTGTTGTAGAAATTATTATAATTTTTTATAAAAAGATTATTATCTTATAATAATAATAATAATAATAATAATATAAATTTTTCTATAGTTGTGAGTGTAAAACCAAAATCATACTAAATTATATTCAGTTTCATTTTACTGAAGCAAATTTGGTGGCAATCCTAACAAAATATTAAACAAAGTACAAGAAAGATTCTGGTTTAGTCGGAGTAATAGCCAGTGATTTTATTCTTCCAGCTTGCAAATGTTGTTGTAGAAACTCTTATGATCTTATCTAATATTTGTATCTGCTAGAATCATAATTATCATACTTTAGTTACAATTATAAAACCGAGAACGTTACAGTATATATAAATCATACAATAGTAAATTGTGTTGGATTTGATTTTACTTGAGCGAATTGTGTTCCTTCTTTCCTTAGAGATGTAATTCACAATGACACGTGTCGAGCATGTATTTATTCACCGTTTAAGGAAAAAAAAGGAAAAATCCTCAATTTTTTTTCTCTCTCTCTCTCTCTTGGCCCATGGAAATGAATCGAATCACCTTCTTTCCAATTCGTTTCTGGTGATCGGTCTCAGTCGGAGCTCCGATCGTGGCAGATGGTGGTTGCATCTGTCTATCTCTATCCCTCTCCTTCTCGTACCAAAATTGTGTTTAATCCTGGTCGAAACTGAGTTCCTTTGTTTAGGGGTTTTGATAAGGTATGGTTTTTTGTTTATAGGGTGAGGGGAAAACAGATAGGCCATGGAATATCATAGAGTCTTATCAGTAAATTCACTCGTGGGTTGTTCAATCTTGGAGAAACTTAAGATGAAGATGACTCCAGCTTTATTTGAATACAATAGAAAGCCTTTTTGGGTGCTCCGTTCACAACTTTGTTCATTTAAATTATTTTTTTGTGCATATATCCCCCATTCCCCAAAACATCGTGAAAAAAAAAACAAAAGAACCTAAGAGACCAATGGGACCAACACCAGAGTTTGCTAAAGACTTGAAAGTGGCGGATCTTCTGCTACCACAGTCAAGAGGATGGAATGAAGACTTGATTAACACTTTATTACCTTGTTACAAGGAAGAGATACTTTGCATCGTCCCTGGTTCTTTTGATACAGAAGATTGCCTAGCGTGGCTCCCACAGATGACGGGAGAATACTCGGTGAAAACAGGGTACTACGCAGCACGAGATCGAGGCCCATCAGACCTAATCTCTGCAGTCAACAACAACTTTAATTGGATTTCAGAGGTATGGGGAGGAAATTTTGCTCCAAAATTGAAAATATTCCTATGGAAAGCGGTTCAAGGAGCCTTACCACTGGGAGAAAACTTAGCGATCCGAGGAATTGTACATCAAGCAACGTGTATCCACTGTGGACAAGCTGAGACTACCCTCCATATATTCTTCCTCTATGAATTTGCCCAGGAAGTGTGGCGTCTAGCTCCCTTCCGAAATCAATTTACCTCTGGAACTCTTACAAATATCAAAGCAGGAATCAAAATCCTCAATGTGGCAGTGAGCTTACCGCAGACAGGAATCGGCGCCGGCACGTTAGCACCGTGGATCATGTGGAGCATATGGATGAGCCGGAACAACAAGATCTTCAATAATAGAAGGTTCAATGTGCAGGAAACCCTAAATCTCGCCTCAATCCGGGGGCACGGGAATGGCAAGAGGCTCAAGAGAAGACACCGATCCGCTCCGTAGCGAACAGATCCAGTAGCAACCCGAGAAGCGTGCGATGCCACACCGATGGCGCTTGGAGTAAAGAGCAAAAGATATGAGGAATGGGATGGAGCTTCCACGATGGAAATCAGATCCCAATTACACAGAGATCAACAGCAAGGAAGCACATAGCATCACCGCTAATAGCTGAGGGACTAGCAATCCGTTACGCCCTAGAACATGCCCTTGATCTGAGTTTCTCCTCCTTGCATGTGGCCT